ACCATCTTTTTTTGTGATGTCAAAAACTTCATTCAATGGATCATATTTTCATTGTTTTACACATTTATGGTACTTCAGCACTTGATCCAATTTTGCCTGTACAATTTGAATTGATAAATGTGGAAAATTAATTTCTTTTACCATAGACTTGTTACTTCTTACCCAATTTACTTTATGCATTTTTTTCTCTCTTTAATAGATTCTCCCGGGAACAGATAGTAACCAATTATTTGGATTTTGAATGGTATCCTGCTGTTATTTTCCAGTGAATTTTGCAACTCTTTCTATTGTGAATACAATATCACCAAATTACTTAGGTCTATCTTTTATAAAAGTTAGTAATATATTTATGGATAGTATAATCATAGTCATAGTATTTAACTAGTCTGGAAACGCGGGCCGTTTTCTTAAAACACTTAAGTTCCTCTCGATACTAGTGCTCAGCCTACTTTAGAGTCCATCAAATTGTAAACATTGTATTTCGCTATAGATAAGTTACATATATTCTGGGATAAATATTGAAATGGCATGAACAAATTGTGATTTTTTTGGTTATTCAGTTTCAAGTTAATATTTTGGATTGCATTTATATTTCGTATTCCGAATAAAAATGATGAATATAGCATAAAATAAAGACATCAACTGTTGGTAAATGTAGTTATGTGACAGAGTTTGTATTGGTATAAATATGCTTATTCAACCATATAGCTTATATCATATAAGCATTTAAGTTATATGCACTATATGAAAATATGTTATAGATGCAAATATTTTATCAACTGTATAACTTGATGGATGTATATGGGTATAAATACTTTGTATTATATTCAGAGTATATTTATTTAAAGTGTTAGCTAATATAGCTTAATAATCTATATTCTATATATAGTTTACTTAGCTAGATTAGTTGATAATTTATATATCATTCTTTACACTTTGCTGGTATCTTTTCTGGAAACAAGAAAAAATAAGGTACAATTTTTTCATTTTGAATGGTTTCAAAGCTAAATTAGATGTTGGTATCTTTAAAGATATGTGTTATACCCTTAATATAGCATATTTATCTACCTTAGAGAGAAAATTATATCTTAATTATTACCTAAATTATATTAAAAATAGTGATTTGTTGTTTAATTTTCTACCTTACAAGGAAAAAAAAATTTACTTTTAAAGATACAATTTTTTTGAAGGTAGAAGATTTTACCTTACTATGTGCATATCACATATTCTACGCTACAGTAGAACTTCTACCTTTTTTACAAGTGCTATACTAACAATAAATGTTGTGCAAAAATATTTTTCTATTTTTATTAATAAGTAAAAAACTTAATCAGTAAAAAAAAATAGGATTTTAATAAATACTTTAAAAATAGCTAGTATATCAAAGCTTCTTAAACTAAAATTCAAAAGCTCGTATATAAAATTTTATTTTTATTATGCTGTATTGCAATTTGTATAATAGCAAATAAAAAATATATACTTGATGCAATAAAGATGATGCCAAAGTCTGCTACCAAATATTGCATCACTATCATACTTAAATCAAATTTAATTCAATTATAAAAAAAGTACAATGTATTATAAGAAAATTGCAGAATTATTTTAAATCTTGATTTTAAGCTATAATTTAATATCTATTTTGTTGAATGCAGAAAAATAATATCTCAAAATCTAAGGTTATCTTTAACTAAAATAAGATATTTGTGTTAATTTTTTAGTTTCAAATTCAGCTGCAGTGTATGATGATATACTTGACTAATCTAGACGATATACTTGACTTTTACAACTGGTGCCACTGTATGACTAATGTTTCTTTTGCTTTAGAAAGCAATCAAAATTTCTTAAAAGTTGTTGCTTGTAACTTGCGATGTTTATGCAAATCGCAAGTTGTTGAAAAAGCATTTTAAATGATTCGTTTATGCCTAATCCACCACATTAAAGTATAACAACTCGTTACTGTCTTATTTAAATATGACTTATCCAACTTAAAACATATGGAAAAAAAGATAAATGTAAGGATGGTAAGTTTATACAGTGGAACCACATTGCTTATATGTTCTATGAAGACCTTTGTATTTTACCTAAACTTACTTTTGAGCATATAAAGTTGGCAAAATATTTATTAAAAAGTGTTAACCTTGCTGCCTAAGTAATAAGTTTTTGCTGTATTAAAAACTTTATTACATTATGAAATAGCTTATTTGAAAATTCTTTCCAACACTAACGATCACTTAATGCTTGCAAGGGTAACCCATCATTTAACGACTTTCAATAATAACAAAATAAAAAATACTTTTAGTAGCTGAAAATGTATTTAGCTACACAGGTATTATAAAGTGGTAGTAATATAGTATTAAGTCATGCCAAAAAAAAAATAGATGTTATTAGATTAGTTTAAAAATAAATATTTTTTATATATGTAAAATAGCCGTGTTGTCATTATTATTTTAAATTAAAAGACAATTGTATTAATTTTATTATTCAATCTTTTATTGTTGTTTTATTATAAAGTTATTACACCATAAAACTATTAAATATACATAAAGCATTGAACTTACTCTAGGAGCTAATTATATACCAATAATATTTTTAAAAAATATGTGGCTATGAAAATAGCCGTTTTAGTAGGTTCAAGTCATATCACTTTTTCTTTAATGTTCTTGTTCCAGAATAGAAAGTGTTTTTTAATTGATGTTCTTTATATATCAATTTAGTTTGACTCTTTCAGGTTATATTTTGCAATGTACAATCTACGAACTTGTATGTAAAATGTTAGATGATTATGCATACTTAGCTGCAAGCAAATACGATAAACACTGCTCATTATACAACTTAGACATGTTAGAAAACCAATTGTAAAATTAGAGGTACCAAAAACATTTCCACTAAGTCATAATAGAATGTTTTGTTTAGTGATGTAGAGGGATACATGCTTAAATGTTATAATATTATTGATAAAAGAGGCACCAGTTAGATAAACAAAGACAAGATTTGCTACTTCAAAACATGAAAGAAATTGTTTTTTCAGAAAAAGTTTTGTAGAATCAATTCTACAAAATATTTCCTGAAAAAAAAAATTTCTTTCATGTTTTGAAAGAATTCATGTTTTGAATGCTACTTCATGTTCTTTCATGTTTTGAAGTTGTCATCATTTTTACTAGGAACTAAGCTGTAATGAACTCTTGAAATAATTGAAATATTTATACTTGATTTTAAACTTTTAATGCCAGCTTGTAGCAAAGTACTATTTATCTGAAGCAATCTTGATTAAATAATTGTAAAATCTAATAGGTTGAAGAATAATCTTTGCTTTTTTTTATTCTTTACTAAATGTTTATCAGTTTCTTGCAAAACAAACACATAAATATTCTTTCTTCGCTTTGGTTAGGATAAATTAAAATAGGTAGTCTAATGTTAGAACTAAAATTGAGATCTGCCTCCAACAAATAGCAACTCAATAACAGCTAAAACAGCATCGAATTCATTCAAATTTTCAAAGTCTGCGCTACAAAAAGTCATTTTAAAACATTTGATGCACTCTCAGTCCGGTCACCCCTTAAAACTCAAGTTATTATACGAAATCGATAGAAAACGGCCCGCGTTTCCAGACTAGTTAAATACTATGACTATGGTATAATGGACATTTTACATATGAACTCATCTAATATTTGTGAAACAAGATTTGAATCCTAGGCTAAATCTCCTTCATTTCCAGTAACTTCTGGGTAACTACAAGGTTACATTCTTGGTCCTTTTTTACTATAATAATAATAATAGTAATAATAATAATACTAATAATAATAATAATAATAATAATAATAATAATAATAATAATAATAATAACAATAATAAAATTATTTTTTATAATCTTTCGAGGTTCTTTTGAATGATGACACAACTGCATACTTGAGTCTTGATAAAAAAACTTTTTAATCTTAAAGAGATCATTTTTAATCTTAAGGAGATACTCTTAAAGATAATCTCCTTTTAAGCTTAGAACAGGCCATTGATCTTAAATCAGATTTTCTTTCTGTGAAAGCTTAAGGCTAACAGGGGCTGTTGAGTTTTAATCCAAAGAAAACAATTGTTTACTGCTAACTATTATCAATAGTTTGATCCTGGCGTGGTTCTATCTAATAAATAGGGAGAGGTGGTCTTTATTTTGTGATGTAATTTTATTTAAAGTTTTAAAAGAAAATGTTAATGTTTTGTTAAAATTTTGTATTTTTATGTGCTTCCTTTAAATATATTATACCTAACCACCATCAAATAGGATAAGGATGCCTTAGATTGGGTGGTGAGAAGTTGGATTGACTACCTGTGATAGTCAATCCAAGTTTGGATACCTTTCAACCTTCATAAATGTTTTATCCATTCAATTATGAAATCCTATTGACATATTAGGTCTGGATCTTCTAATAATGCTCTTTCTGTCATAGACAAAGTCCAAAAATACATTGTAAATATAGTTAAACTAACTCATCTAGCTTTTATATCTATGCTTCTAGAGTTCTCTACTATCTTCATGTTCTCATGACTCATACAATCTACAGTTATTCAAGTCATTGAATAACTGTAGATTGTATGAGTCATGTATGAGTAGATGTATGAGTATGAGTATGAGAGATTGTATGAGTAGATTGTATGAGTCATGTATGAGTAGATGTATGAGTATGAGTATGAGAGATTGTATGAGTCATGAAAACCAATTTTGGTTAGCAAGAAGAAAGGAAACAATGTACAACAGGTTTAAATTTCTTATTAAGTAATTATATCACTCTTTAACTCTAAACTTGCTCTCAACTTAAGAGTGGTTTAATTCTCAACATGGTCTAAAGTTAGGAGTGGTTTAACTCTAACCTTGCTCTCAACTTAAAAGTGGTTAAACTTTCAACTTGATCTAAAGTTAGGATTGGTTTAACTCTCACCTTGGTCTCAACTTAAAGAGTATTTGCAACTTTATTAAAAATAAATTTACAAATTAAAAAAAAAAAACTTACCTTCAAACCTGGCTAAATCGATAGATTCTCCTCTCATACTTTTCACATACTTTACACCATATATAATAATCGGTCTACGCAAAATATGTGCTAAGGCAAAAACATGAGTTTGTTCTAAACTACTTCCAGCCATTGCAGAAAGTCCAACTAGGTTAGCCCAGTCATGTTTCCATTGTTGTTCTTCCAGACTATAATTCATCTCACTTGCCTGCATTTCTTCTGCTTCTTGCCAACGAGGGAAAAACCTTGTAAAAAGCAACATGAATTATTTTAAACCAATTATGTTAACATTTAATATTTTTTTAAATGAGAAAATGAATTAGATAAATGAAAAAGGAAGCTTCATTGCAAAATCATATAAACAATCAAGTCAACAAAAATAAAAAAACATGTTACCGATGCTGACCCTCTGAAAGAGCTTCAAAAAGTTTTTTACGTAGTGCATTATCTCGATCAAAAACACCCCATGTAGCTTGAAGCACACTGTCTAATAAGCAGTCACCAGCAGCACGATTCCATAATGGACATAAACGACTACCATACTGATTAGTAAGCTCTGAACTCCAGTTAATCAAGGATTCTTCTTCAAGAACTTAAAATAAGAAAATTAAACAAATTCTTATACAATTTTCAATTCAATTTTAGTCAAAACTCAGCTGAATAGTTATATATTGATGACACCTTTACAACATTATAGCAATGCAACTGTTTTTAAGAAAATGTTGCTATTAAAATTAATGTTTTGTTAAGTTAGAAGCAAAACAAAAAGTTTATCAATAAAAATTAAACAAAACAAAAATCTTCTAAATACAAAATTGTGTACAAAAAAAAACTAGATCAAAAGATTCAAAGCAACTAGAAACTAGTAAAAAGACAAAACTTAACTAAATGTCTAAAGGAGCATAAAAATGAATTTTGATTAGTTGAACAAAAAATGATAGCTCAAGATTTAAAGCAACTAGAAACTAGTAAAAAGACAAGACTTAACTAAATGTCTAAAGAAGCATAAAAACGAATGTTGATTAGTTTAACAAAAAATGATAGCTCAAGATTTAAAGCAACTAGAAACTAGTAAAAAGACAAAACTTAACTAAATGTCTAAAGGAGCATAAAAATAAATTTTGATTAGTTGAACAAAAAATGATAGCTCAAGATTTAAAGCAACTAGAAACTAGTAAAAAGACAAAACTTAACTAAATGTCTAAAGGAGCATAAAAATAAATTTTGATTAGTTGAACAAAAAATGATAGCTCAAGATTTAAAGCAACTAGAAACTAGTAAAAAGACAAGACTTAACTAAATGTCTAAAGAAGCATAAAAATGAATGTTGATTAGTTGAACAAAAAATGATAGCTCAAGATTTAAAGCAACTAGAAACTAGTAAAAAGACAAGACTTAACTAAATGTCTAAAGAAGCATAAAAATGAATGTTGATTAGTTGAACAAAAAATGATAGCTCAAGATTTAAAGCAACTAGAAACTAGTAAAAAGACAAGACTTAACTAAATGTCTAAAGGAGCATAAAAATGAATTTTGATTGGTTGAACAAAAAATGATAGCTCATATTTTGTTCCTACAAAAACTTACAGCAATGTATAGGTTTAAGTTTGAATGTTAGAATTGACTGTTTGACATTAATGACAAATATTGCTTTCCTTTTACATTTAAAAAAAAGAACTTCTTTTACATTTAAAAAAAAGAACAATGAAAACAAATTTAAACATTCAAATAAGTATTATAGTAGTTTTCAGAGTAGAAACAAAAGTTCTAACTATTTTAGAAGACTGTGAAAACATCAAAATAGCCATAAAAACCAGAGTCATTAGAATGCCTGACAAAGTATAAAACAGTCAAGGGTGTTAATAAAATTGTGGTCATTAGAATCAAGAGAAAAATTAATAAAAAAAGTTTTTTGCAAACAATTTATCTTTATTTTAAAAACTGACTCATGAATGAGCTAAGGAATATTTCCATTATTAATAACACCCATGAAGATTTTTGAAAAGTAATTTACACTCTAATTTGAAATATAAAATAAATTAATCTTAGATTATTAGGCGCTAACCAATACACTTTTCTAAAAACTTTTTAATAGCACATGGGTTGTCTAAAAAGTGCCACATTACTTCTACTAACAAAGAAGTTCGACTTTGCCACAGATACTGAAAATTTGAAAAATAAAGACCAGATTCTAATTTAGTATTCATTAGCAAGAGTAGTTTCCAATTGTTTTGATTGCCACATGACAACAAAAATCTTCATATAGAATATTAATATGGATACAAAAAACATTACTTGACTGAAACACTTTTACTTAAGCTTACCAATAATATATTTGAACTGTTTGATAAACATACACCTTCAGTTACTTGATCTAAGTGTTGTCTTTGACACTATTGATCAGCAAAAACTACTTGGGTTAATAACTAGTGAAATAGGTATAATTGACTCAGCTCACAATGTGTTCAAACCATTTTTAGTTAACTGTACCCAAAGTGGTTCAAACCATTTTTAGTTAACTGTACCCAAAAAGTTTAAACTGGTAACTCATATTCCATTAAAAAAAAAAGTAAAATATTGAGCACCACAAGGTACAGTTATGGGTGCAAAACTATTTGATATCTTTAGACCACTATACAAATATCTAAACATAATCAATGTTAAAACTTATGGATACTCAGATAATCATCAAACCCTAAAAGCATTCTTGTTTTCATCTCAATATAATGCCACTTGTCCTGGATATACCAAAATGTCTTGAATACATATCTAAATGGATGAGTGAATCATTCTCATGTATTAACAGATCGAAAACAAAAATACTAATTCTGTCACCACCTAGCAATCAAAAAGATATTATTATCAAAGCTACTTTTGCTATTAAGGAATGAATTAGATTTGTTGAATCCACAAAAAGTTTAGGTGAGATACTTGACAATGAATTATCTTTAAAAACACAAATAAATAAGATTGTTAAAAACTGCTACAATATAATGAGCAAAATATCTAAAAAAAAACTGTAGCAAGTTCAAAATTATGCAAAAGACTAATTTTTAAAGCTAGAATAGAAATCGAGTAAATGTCCAGGCATTTAACAAATTGAATTGGCTGAAAACTAGAGAAAGAATCAATTACCAAAAAAATTAAATACCAAGAAAATCTAAGAGGTTTAAATACCAAGAGAACCTAAGAGGTTTAAATATCAAGAGAATCTGAGAGGTTTAAATACTAAAGAAGAATCTGAGACAATTTTAAGATTTTAATGAATATTGGAAGCAATAAAAAGCGACTTGTACAAAAGCAACTGAAAAAATAGACATTAAAAAAAAATTAGAAAAACTTCTTTATATATTACTAGCAGCTAGAATTACAATTACATTAAGAATAATTCCAAGATCAAACCACAAAAAACTAAAACATACTCTTAAAAAAATGTAAACAGTAAATAATTCTAACCTTTTCTTACATCTGTATCTAATATTTCTTTAAATAGTTGGTGCTGAAGTACAGTATCAAATGTTAAAATCTCTATGATTTAAAATTTTTTACATCTCAATCAAAAGCTGTTATTTAATAATACTTAATATATAATAACAATATTATTAATAATACTTATTAACAATTATATGTATTTAAAACAAAAAAAATAAAAAATAAAATTATACCACCAGGAAGAGAAAAGGTAACAAGCTCAGTAAAAAAAGGACAATTAAATTCTCCTTTCCTTGTTCGAATAGAATGCAACAGTTGTTTACGTATTGCCATGGATAACTCTGGACAAACATGACATGGAAGTTTTTTAACAGAACGATGGGGTATCTCTGATATAAGCAACATTCTTAAAATATCTTCACGGTGATATCGTATAGATAAGTGTACAAGTGTATGTCCAGTCTCATAATGCTGTGGCTCATTTAGAACCAAAACATCATCAGAGGTTAATTGTCTTGCTCGGTCACCACCATTAGCTAAATAAGCTGATACAGCCTTAATGTCATGTTCCACAACCCCTCTACATGCTGCTAACCACATTAGGTCTTTAGTAGATAAGCGATTGCAAATCTGATTAATTCTTTGGTTAACTTCACTTTGACATGTCATTTTTTCAAAAGATTCTGTAATATTTAGTATTTTTGATTCATCTAGAGTTGGCATATCAAATATATTACCAGACTGCAAAGAGGTTGGTGATCGAGGTGGTGACCAACGAGGAGAATTGGTTTTATTTCTATTAGTTTTCTTTATTGTACTTTTGTTCTGTATTTTATCACCTTGTCTTATAAAATCATCAGGCTTACAGTTCTTGTTACGAGGATGTTGACATATAATACATCTCACCGCTTTTGGCCAGTTTTCATAAGTACATTTAATGCAAATCCATTTATGAACTTTTATAATTGTTTTTCTTTCTTTAAGATCACTTCTACATTCAGCATTGTTTTCAATATTTTTAAGAGATTCAACTAACTTGAACTCATCAGGTTTATCAGTTTTGCACATAATACACAGTTCAGACTTTATCCAGTTTAAATAAGAACAAGCTGGACAATTCCATTTTAAGTTTTTGTCATTATTTGCAGAGTTTTTTTCACTAAGTAATATAATTTCTTCATTTATAATTTCATCATTATTGGTTTCATCTAAAACAAGATTCCATCGATTATTCTGTAAACATAAAATGTTACACATTACACATTTTTTAGCTGAAGGCCAATTACTGTAAGTACATTCACGGCATATCCATTTTAAATCAGCTTCATTTTTTGGCATTTTCTGTTTATAAAAGTTAAACATTATATTTACATAAATATAAAAAACTATTGCAAATGATTTAAAAACAAAAGCATTAGTTTTAATAATATAAAAATAGTAAATAAGTAGTTAAGCAAGGTTATCAAATTAAATATTTTTAATTTCTATTTATCTTTGAACTTTTTCATTTCATATATCAGTAACAAGGTTTGCATGAGTAAGAGGTCCAATATAAACCAAACTTTGTGACTAAAATCTATCTAAGAGACCAATCATTACCAGAGATCTACACAAAATTTTTAAACTAAAAAAAATGTTATCCATGAAAAATTCTTTCTTTTTTTACTTTCAAAGGAAAATGGTCGAAAATGGTTTTTTAAGCTAAAATTTTCTTTAAATTTAAATAAGAAAAAAATATAGGAAAAACCTTTACTATGAATTATATACAAAACAAACTGTTAATAAAACAACATAATAAAATAATGAAATAAAATTGTAAAACATTTCAAAAGTAAAAATAATTGTTACAAAAAGTAATTTTAAAATAATAAAAAAAAAAATTATTGTTACAAAAAATAATTGTTACAAAAAAACAATTGTTTCAAAAAGTAAAAAAAATTGTTACAAATAAATAACAACAAAATACTGGGATAACAACATATATATATATATATATATATATATATATATATATATATATATATATATATATATATATATATATATATATATATATATATATATAATACATTATATATTTGTATGTATATATTTATTTTGTTTATATTTATTGTGAATTTTTTTTTTTTTTTTAAAGAATTTTTTTTTTTTTTATAAAAAACAAACTATTAATTCAAAAAGAATATTAAAGCTGATAACTGCATTCCAAAATTTTGATAAGCTTAGCTTTACAGTTAATGCATTTACAAAGAAAAAGTTTTTCGATTGTTTGACATTTGTTAAATAATTAAAATGATATATGATTATAACAAAATAATTTATTACGTAAATAAATAATATATTTATTTAATTGTTAATAAAAATAACTCTTTTAAATCAAGATAAACACTTAAAAATATTTTATTAATTTCAAATTTAAAAATAATAACTTTTTATAAAATTTAATTAAAATACAGTTCACTTTTTTTAATTAAATTTTTTTTGTTAACATATTTGATTTATCCATGTTGCTAAGTAAACAACAAATATATAATTATATTTAAACAAAAATAGATCAAGTTTGATAATTTTATTCAAATGTAAATTTATTTTTCAATTATTTATAATTTAACATTATGTTGTATTTTGGTTCGAAAGATTTTGGTTTACAACTGTTTGAAAAAAAAAATCAATATAAAGATTAAAAACAGTATTCTATGATGTCAAGTTATAAGCCACCTCAAAATAGGATTTTCTAAAGCTAATAAACCTTTAGCTATAGGTACAAAATATGAATGATATATAAAATACTTATTTAAAAAGTAACTGATGTCAAGGCAACGTTAGAAAGGGTTAGAAAAAAATTAAGTCTAAAACAAAGATTACAAGTTTAAACTTTTAAAATGGAATATTTTTATTTTATTATAAGCAAATAAAGTAGAGCTTTAGTTAATAAAATGAGAAAATGGCACGAAGTATTTATCAACAACAGCTATTCTTCTTTTGTTTATTTTAAATTTTGTAAATTAAATTGAACATTTAAAAAAACGGAGTACATTACAACCCTGTCAATATTATTAAATAGTGGTATATATTCAATATATAATACTATTTATTAATATTGACAATCATTATTATCTTTTATTTTATTAGATCTAACCTTGCTATAGAGATGTCAGAACTTATTCCATTATATTTGCATTTTTTTAAAATGATTTTAAATGAAAATGAAATGTATTTTATGGCCGATGATTGCCTACTATATAAAGTTTCTTTTTTTTTTTTAACTAAAAATAATGTTTTAAAACCATCATGCAAAATGCAAAAAACTTACAAATTATATTTAGCTTACAAATTATAATACATGAGAGTCACAAAAATAATTAACACTCCAGCCTTTCTGACTATTAACATAGACTATCCTTTCAGGATATGAAATTTTTATTATATATCATATATATATATATATATATATATATATATATATATATATATATATATATATATATATATATATATATATATATATATATATATATATATATATATATATATATATATATATATATATATATATGTATATATATATATATATATATATATATATATATATATATATATATGTATGTATATATATATATATATATATATATATATATATATATATATATATATATATATATATATATATATATATATATATATATATATGATATACATACATATATATAGATATACACATATATATATATATATATATATATATATATATATATATATATATATATGTATATATATATATATATATAAATATATATATATATATATATATAAATATATATATATATACATATACATATATATATATAAATATATATATATATATATATATATATATATATATATATATATATATATATATATATATATATTCAAGTATATATATCAGGACTCAATTTAATGATCGCACATCGCCCCACTCGGACCATTCTTGAGACCTGCTAGAGGAGGGCAACAAATCGTTTTTAATTTTTATATTAAAAATGAACATTATAAATTAGATCTTAAAAACAGTCCGGGGGGCGGTGA